TTTTGAGTTTTGAAGAAGCCCTTGTGACATAGCGGCACACAAATTCCAGTGCTCACCTCAAGGTAAGTAGTTTGAACCCACTACCAGCTCTGCCGAAGAACAATGAGCCCTTCCGTTCCAATAAAGACGTACAGCTGCAGGAACCCATGGGGGAACGCTATCTTGTCCTAAGTGTCACTATGAGATTCAAGGTCAATGAGGGTTTGTTGTTGTTGTTGTTGTTCATAAATGTTATCTAATTTAGTCAAGAAGGAGCTGTGGTAGTGTGGTGGTTACACGTTGGGCTGCGATCCCCATGGTGGGCAGTTCAAAACCACCAGTAGCTCCCCAGGAGAAAGATTTGGTTTTCTACCCCCATCAACAGGTAACATATCAGAAACTCACGGGGGAGGAGGTCCCTAGGAGTCAGCATGGACTCAAAGCAGTGAGTTTGTTTAGTTTTTAGTTTAATTTCATCGCAGACTATGGTAAGCCGAACATCTCTGAGGGTCCATTATTCAGCCTACAATAGCATTGTTGTCCAATGAGTGTGTCTCTTGTTGGAATGAATATTTAGCCGCAAGTACAATTCAAGGGTAAAAATGCTTTCTGTTTTTCTTTCTTTTTGCCTTTTCCTTTCTTTCTTAAATACTTTCTTTCAGAATCGTGTCAGTATTTTATCTTAATATCATCTTGGAAACAGTTAGGCTAAGGGGTTCAGTCTCATCAGAACTAAGTATTGTTGCGATGACTGGTCACCATATCAAATTCCTCTAGAGGTAAGCTGTCCTTACCTGGGTGTACTGGATAGGAACCAAGCTGCTGGATCAGCTTTTGCATTGTTAATTACATTATTCCTTTAGCATCCACTATGCAGGCTCTCCTTCTCCACAGGGGGCGTTTCCTCCTGTGCTCTTGCCTTCCCTGGTGCGGTGCTGTGGACTCAGCTGGCTTATTATTCATCCCTCTCAGGATCGTGGTGGGTAGAGTGTCTGGTGCTATCGAGCGGGCTCTCGATTGTGCTGGGCCAGCCTCAGTGGAGGGGGAGTCTGGACACCAGGCCTCAGGGCTGCGGCTGTCTTGTCAGTGTGAACTTCCCTCCTTGTGACAGACAAACCTGGACGAGGCGCTTCCCCTCCCCATCCCAGTGGTTGCCGATCACCATTTCTCACTTAGTAAAGGCATAAAATGTTAGCTCCCAAGGTGATTTTCTAGAAGTTTCCTAGGGGAGAAAATATTTTTTTTCTTCTGTCTTTCTTCCAGTTACAGTAGCAATCGATATTTACGTATGCTCTGGGGATGATAAGACTTCGCTGCCCCTCACTAAAGGGAATAAGATGTCTACTTCAGAAGAAAGACCTTTCAAGGAATGAATATAACTGTACCCACTGCCACCCCCACCCCACCCCCACACAGACATTGGTGTGACAACTAGCATCACTTACTGTCGGGGCTGCCATGGTGAGACAGAATTTGATATGCGGACACAGCAATAGCAACAATACTTGGTTCTGATTAGAATTAACTCCTTAGCTTAACTGTTTAAAGAATGCTATTAAGGTAAAATATTTACACAATTCGGAAAGTATGAAAGGAAAAAGGGAGGTAGTGTGTGAGCCCGGTCTCCCCGTGAAGGATCTGGTATTTCCTTGGATTGAGGTTATTTGGTGGTCTTGAAAACCCAGCTCTCTGGTGGACTCTAGAAAAGTTATAATTTTGAATTCTACAATATTGGCCCTGTGGTTAATGTGTGAGGGACACCGTTACAACCTTTAATACCCTGAGCGAAAGTGGGGGTCTCCATAGAATTCTCATGAAGGAAAACCCACTCAGAATCAAGAACTCTATTTTCATAATGGCTCCATTTCATGCTATAATGAGTCATCATGTTAATTATCACTGAATATGAACTAAATTGGAATCAGATGGATTCCACTTGGAGGACTAGCTTTAGTGTTATGACACAATGCAGCAGGCAGTTCTCTTTCATTCCACCACAACATGTTTATACTCCTTCACAGTAGAAGCAAAGCAAATGATCCTCCCTGGATTGAAAGAGCCCATCTTCTCAGATATATATATTTTTTGTTATGTGAAATTATATCTCCCATTCAAGCTGTGTTCACATGTATACAAAAAGAGCTAGCAATCTTAATTTTTAAGCTGATTTGCTTTTTAATTTTTTTAATAGACTTTCCTTAATGTGGGTAACTTCTTTATATCCTGGATAAAATTGTGTTAAAAATAAACAAACTTGAAAATACTATACCTATTATACAAAACTCCATTATAAAACAAAATACACTTAATTTTTTTTCTTTAGCACAAATGGCTAATTATTTCTTATAATACATAACAATGTCAAGGGCAAAAAGAATAGCTGTAGGTGATCATGTTTGTTCAGATTTTCTGGTATAAAGCATATTTTACTGACATTAAAAATAGAACAACATTTGGGAGGGAGGGGAAAAATGAGGACCTAATGTCGGGGGTTTAAATGGAGAGAAAATGTTTTGAGAAACGATGTACAAATGCGCTTTACACAATTGATGTGTGCATGGATTGGGATAACAGTTGTATGAGCCCCTAATAAAATGTTAAAAAAGAAAAAAAAATAGAACAACATTTGAAAAGCACTTGCATTACGTGGCCTGAAATGCCACTAGACATTGAAAAATACTGTAAATTACTCTCATGATATATGACCTTAGTGTATGACCTTGAGCAAATCTCTAAACCTCTTTGGACCTCCAGTTACCCACATGTAAAATGAGAGGGTTGAATTAGGTCATCTTTTAAATTCCCTCCCAACTCTAAGGCTTGGTGGTAAATAAAGATAATCAATGACATTTATGAACAATTTGGAACTTCTCTGAGACTCTGTTTTTGCTTCTCTGTCAACTGTTATGGACAAGATTTCTTTGATACACAAAGAAATTTCATGGATATATATATATATATATACACTGCCCACCCCTAAAGTTACAGGTTTAGTCTAAAGAATGTGGATTTGGGGTATTATCACTGAAATAAATGTAGGGCAGAATTTACACCCCTGATCACCCAGATCCTGTGCTTCAATTTATTACATCCATTCAGTGAGATGTGACCATATAAAGTATTTTTTTGCTGCCTGGAACTTCCAACCAAGTAGAAATCAAATTTTGTTTTACTTTAAAGGAAAACTTGGGATTTACTCTAAGCAATAATGGCACTGTTCGTAGGTCTCAAAGCAGATGTAAGGAGCACAAAACATCCCTACTTTCCAATTATTTCAATAATAAATAAATTGAGCATGGGTAAACCAGGGAAGCTTTAGGTAGAGGGCAAGCTTGAGTTAACTTAAACTTAGGAGCCTTGTGAGATTAAAAAATTTGTCCAAGCTAAGGAATTGCTTTGGCACAGCCTGGAAAGATGGGAAATGGGATCAACAAGGAACAGTCCCTATGGTCACTAAACAACAGTAAATCGTTTTTTACAATAACAGATGTACAAATGATGCAATAACTCAAATTTTAGAGAGTTATGATTTTCTATCTCCTTCTGGTTTTATGGCAGTAAGAAATTTTTGTGAGATCTCTATAGGGTATTTTAACCTTTTATGTATCACATATATTCTGAATAATTCCAGTTTAATTTTTGCTTTTGAGAAATGTCTATTGACATGTGAAATTATTATTTTTCATGTTAATACTTCTAAATATTTTGCATTTGATCTATGATTTCAGTGCTAATTTAGAGAATCCTTCTCACGCATCCAAAGTTAGAGAAATATTTAGCTCTAATTTATACTACTAAAGTCACGAAAGTTTTATTCATGTAACACCCAAACTGTTTCATAGTCATATACTATAAGGAAATTTAACAAATGTTTCTAATTTCATTAATTGGATAAGTGTCTTGATAGCTTCCCGTTCACTTAAAAAATCCATCTCTATTATATACCAAATTCTTTTACATCCCAGTGTCTACTCCTTTAACAGTCTTATTTCATATAATCTTTAGGCTGTTTTCATGTGTGTTTAAATACACACACACACACACACATTCAGGTGTTGAATACTTAAATGAAAAACATCTATATTTTCAGGTCTGACTTGAAATAACAAACTTGAAAACAAATCTCTGATCAAATGGAAAGCTTAGACACAATCCAGCTTTTCTTTGCAAATAGAAATAGTGGGTTTATTGCTTATTAATGGCTTTATGATTTTATTTATATGGTTTGCCCCAGGTCAAAAAGTATGTGGACATCCTCAAATGACCCAAAACGTTTCTAAGCAAATTAAAGAATCAACCATTTTAACGTCAGCAAAATGTCTAGCAGCCGATTAGTGTTAGGCTAACCAATGTAGCTGCTTTGCACAACAATGATGTCACCAATGCCTTTATTTAGAACAAATACCATGTCAGCAATAACTCCATTCTCCTATGGTCTCTCAAAGTATCAGCAAAGTGAGTATTTTTGGTAAAATGAGGAGGTAGTTATTCTACCTGACACAGTTTGAAGGGTACAAACAACATTATCTACACAAACACACACTCCTGACTTATAACTTATCTTTTCATTTGAACTGGGATCCTTTCCTCTATTGTCATGTGTTGAGTACTAATTTCATAGAATGAGTAAGTGCCTCATACCCCTTTTCTCCTTGAGAAAGTAGAATGGAATTGAATAGTAGCAAATAGGGAAATATTCACTTATTCACAATTTTGCCCAATATTGAAATGGACACAAGCCTTGCTCAACTCCTTCAATGACCTATATACAATTTATAAAAATGATATTTTCATTGAAGTTGACGTTGTCCCATACTACTGTAGAAAGAGCCATTGCCCTTCCAAGATTTTAGTGGAACAAGAAAACCAAAAGGAATGACTGTGTATCATATTTTAATGCTATTATGACACAAATCATATAAAACTGGAGTAACTGTAAAGAATGAACTGTAAGCTAAACTTTTCGGGGCTCTTTTATCTTTAGTGAGAAATAATTGTCTTTTTTTCTCTTTCCTCTGCAGTTTCTTCTTTGTGGGATATGCGGAATCTTGTGCGCCAAAAAGAAATCAGGACTGGTTGTAAGTTGTATTTTCCCTTGCTTGTAATGTACATTAAAGTATTTGAAATTGAAGAACTCAAAAACAGAAATGCTGGCAAGCTGGTTTTTATATGCAGAATGTTACTGGTACAGGATAAAAAGAAGACTGAGAAACAAACCCTGGTCCTATGATTTACAGAGAGAGTCGCCATGATTTTGAGAGACCGTGACAGAAAGAACAACTTTGATATCTGTTTTAAAGAGCAGGAATAGTCAGCCCTCCGTGACGGCTGTAGATGCCAGTCTCTGGTCTTCCCGTTCATAGACTCCCAGACCGTCATGTGGCTCCTTCAGGAAGCTATTTTAGAAAGCATAGCCTGAGTTCATGGGAAATTTTAACTGGTTAAATATGGAACAGGGTCTACCGTTATTGGCCTTCTTTGACGATAAAGTCAATTTAACAAACAACAAGGCGGCTGTGTTACTATGGTAACCGTTCACTCTCAAAACTCTATCACTTTTTTTTAAAACAATGAATACATCACCCGACATGTATGCAGATGTTTCAGGGTACAACGCCGGGGTCCAAGAAGGAGCAGCAAGCTCCCAGTGTAGGACCCTCTTGGCTGCAGCTGACCCTCTCTGCCTGTGCCTGCAGGATTGCCCTCTGTCTCCCATGTGGCTCTATGAGCATGTGGAAAGACGGAAAAAAGCACTAAGCATTTTTCTTGAGAGAGACCATAGACTCTCACAAATGGACAAAAGTAATACTACACATGGACTCTAGGAAGTGGTCTTTGAACTGAAGAAGACTTAGAAATGGTGGCCAATTGACAGAGGAGAGCAAGAAATGGAGAGTTATTTTTGTGGAATTCATATATCACTTTGAAAACACCTGCTAGATACAGGATTGAAGTTCCAATGCTGTAGATATTTCATGGTTGAGATATACAATTTTTAAAATATAACATAAATCAGGAAAAGCATCCTTGGGGAAACTGTTTCTTAAAGCATCATAACTGTCACCCTTGATTCGAACATTTAGGCATGACCTTCATACTTTCTCTATTCTTCCTCTATCAAGGTACAGAACAGAAAACAAGAAGGAAAAATAGGATTTTTTAAAAGAACACAATCTCTCTTTTCGATCTTGGGTTCCTGAGTAGTATAAACTATGAAGTAGGTGCCCACTAGCCTAAAGGTTGGTGCTTTGAATCCACCCAAGGGTGCCTGAGAAGATGGGACTGTCCATCTGCTTCTAAAGGCTACAACCTGCAAAATCCTATGGAGTGGCTCTTTTCTGCACAAACAGGGACGCCATGAGTTGGAATCAACTCAAGAGCAACAATCCCCTAATATGTTATTAAAGAGAGCACACGCATGCGCACACACAGATGCACACGTGTTTGAACTTTTTAGAAATTACTACCTAACTTACCCTTATCTATTATTGTATGGCGACCCTATAGATAACATTTACTTACCAAAGAGTTTCTAACCCTCCATCAATGTATGTGAAAATTATCTCACTCCAAATATCTCTGGTGTCCAGAATCTTAACGTGATGGGATTCGAAAACTGTATACAATTTTACACTTTGACATAGATTTTAAGTTTTTAATTCCTCAGCTGAGAGCTCTGTATCTTAACAAATTAATGAAATGCAATGCTTTTAAAATATTAGTGACAATAGTATGATTTGCTCCCATGCAGATAAATCCAATTTGCCACTTAGATTGTTAATGAAAAGTAATTTGCTGGGTGAAGCTAGTTAGCATATATTCTGACAATTAATAAACACTGACATAGATTCCCCAAAGCTGCATGCCACCTAATATACTTTTAAGTGGAATCTACACTGGTTAATGGTACTTGGAATTGAGAGGTACAAGCTCTCAATTAGTTGGGTAATTTATTTGGAAATTGGTTGTCAATATTATATTGTAGTTTATGAAGTAATTTCAGTTGCCAACCAATGAGTTTAGAGCCCTGACAACAACTCACTTTTGAAACAGATCCAATAAGAAAAATTTAATTAACTTTAAGAAACCAAATCAACTATTAAGAACCCTTCCTGCCCCGATGCTGTCTCTTCTGTCCATGCCATTACTTGGGAACTGCACGAACTTAGCTGAGATCACTCTTTTCTTTAAAGCTTCCTCTAAAACCCTTAGTTGGGCTGAGTTCCCTTCCTCTCTACCTACCTCTAGAGCACGCCAACCTTCTAACTCTCTAAAAATCTCCCATACCAAGTTGAACATTCTCTCTCGCAAGAAAGCAATGGACTGTGAGCTGGATGAGGCCCGAACACCTGGTAGTGCTCAGGAGGTGTTGGTTAAACTGAGTGGACACCAGCAAATGATAACTGGCTCAGAAAATAAATGCTGAAGTAAGTGACATAGCCGCAGGCCTTGTGGGATTGTAGCAAAGGAGGCGTTCAGCAAAGTCCACAAAGGTGTTTGTTCAAAGAAATCAGATTTTGATTTTGGCCATCTTCAAGAGTCCAAGAAAGAAACAAAATTATTTTCAGGACAAAAAGAAATGTATCATTGAGGTGGCAGGGAACAAGCTATAGTGATGGACAACAGAGGTGACTGGAGAAGACACTATGTTCCCCAAGAGAATGGACCAAAACAAACAAACAAACAAATAAAAACCCTTAAATTAGTATCACAACACAAAATGTCATGAAAGCCCATAGGAGAGTGTGGGCTAGATGGCAGACTAAATAAATACAAATTGTAAAGCTACTGGAATATTCCATCACGCCTATGAAATATTTAAAGAAGATTTATCACCCAGAAGCATTGCCCCCTTCTTTGTTCTGCTGCAGGTTCTATGGTAGTTTGGTTGAATAAAACCCTCTGGCTCTGTTAAAAGACAGCCAGATCAAATCAATGATAGGATCAAAAGCAAAGCTACATTTTCTGTTTCTCCAAAAACATCAACCAAAAAGTATCTATGGAACACCTGCTGTGTGTTGTTCATTGTGAAGTCACAGAGTAACAAAAGATAGACAGCTGGAGATCACAGGAAGCCCTAAGCTACCTGTTGGATAACTACACACACACACACACACACACACACACACACACACACACTCACTCAGAATTTCGTGAATGTCAAATGTGAGTGATGTAACTAAATTCTCTAAACTCACATATCTAGAAAGTTATAAAGATTAAAATCTTGATGGAACTAACGATAGTTTAATGAGAAGATATTTAGATATTATGAGAGAATCTGGCTTTAAAGGGGGAAAAATCTGAGTTCATTACCTAAATATGAGTATCATCTGCTCTCCACTGTTTTCTTTTTTCTTAACTGAAAGGATCGTACTACCTCCTCAGAAGACTGTAGCACATAATAACTAGCAAACCGATCAGGCTCCGTAAAGTTGATTTCAAGTGGTCCTGACCCCAGGTAGAGTTTTCGGTGTGGTGATCGCTGGGGAGCAGCTTGCCAGGTCTTGCTTCCCAGGGCATCTGGGTCGGTACAAACCAACAACCTTTCAATTAACAACGAAGCCCTTTTCATGAGTAGTGGAGTCCTTACTAAGTGCCCCCCTAGAGGCTCCTGCAGTGGCCAACCTCGCTGTCTTGTCCCCTCTAGTGTATTAGAACCCAAAGTGACCTGTGGGGCAAAGCAAAACTGCCCCAGGGGGTTTCCTTGGGCTGAATTCTTCACAGCAGAGAATCACCAGTTCTTTTCTCCCACTGACAGACTGGCAGGTAAGAGGCGCCCACCTTGTGGCTAGTAGTTGAGTGCTTAACCCTTGCACACCAGGGCTCCGTATGGCAGCACATCATTAGTATTGTTTAGGTTTGAATCTACACAGAGGATGTGTGTGTACTTCAAACTTTCCAGAAAATTTTATAAGACATTTTGTTGGTTTCCTAAAGACAAGTCAACTCCTGAAACCCTGTGATCTACTCTCTTTCCGGTGAGTCAGAATGGATAAGAACTTGAACGGACAGGATAGTTCCCTAGTCTGTGTAGTAGAGCAACAGAGGCGCAGTCTCCTCACCCATCACTTCTCCCGGACCTGCAGTGGGGCGTGCATCTCTGGTCTGCTCAGCTGTAACCCCTTCTCCCTCTGTCCTACCAGATGATCCTCTTCTCGGCCTGCTGCATCTGTGGACTCATCGGAGGCATCCTGAATGTCCAGTTCCTTCGGGCAGTCACCAAGAGAACGTCGTCCCTCTACCCCCTGCACCTCGCCTCCATGTCCCTCGCCTGCATCGGGATCGGGGGCTGCACCCTCTCATCCTGGCTCACTTGTCGGCTAGCCAGCTATGAACAGAGGAGAATGTTCTCAGAAAGAGAGCATTCGCTGCATCACTCTCATGAAATGGCTGAGAAAGTGAGTTTTGGACCTGTCCCCCCCGCACTGCTGTCATGTGAGGAAGGCTGCCTTAGAGGAGAACTTCAGGAATGTGATTGGAAGAGAAGTGTGGTCTGTCTGTATGAAGACTAGTATTATGTTTGTTTTTTCTCTACAATTCCTAGGTACACCTATTTCCAACACAATCCTCGTCTATTCAAAAACCATGTTCCTCAAATAGCATGTCATAAAATATTGAATGCCTTATGAATATGGGTTTCTATGTATTATACTGAGAGGAAAGATACACAAACTAAAGAGATGCTCTACTCATTAATGCCAGTTTTAAAAATCAGATGAATTCCCTTTTCAATTAATAGTGCCAGGTTTAGAAATCGGATGAATTCCCCTTTGTAGCTCACCCCCTGGACTTGCAAGTAGATGTATTTGATTATGTAAATTGGATCTTCAAGCATAAATGGGGCTTTTTAAGAGGGAAACAAAAGCCTTGCCTATCAGTGCAGATATTGAAGTACACATAAAGCTTCATTTAATTCAAATTTAAATGGCCTGCATATTTGGATAGCCATGCCTGTACTCTCAGAAGCACTGGTGTCAAGTTAAGAGATTGGCGGCTAACTGAAAGGTTGGCAGTTCAAACCCACCGGTGACTCCATGGGGCAAAGATGAGTCATCTCTTCAGTAAAGATGACGGCCTTGGAAACCCCAGGGGGCAGTTCCACTCTGCCCTGTAGGGTCGCTCTGAGTTGGAATTGACTCAGTTCTAAGAGGTTTGGGTTTGGTGTTTTGCCTGTACTTCAAACAGTGGTTCTCCCGTAATTGCTTCGTGAACCTCATTTGAACAGGGAGCTGCAGTAATTACAGAAAAGGGCACACGATGACATAGTAAACTCTCTGTGTTCTAACATTCCGCAAACATTTCTTTAATTCCTTGCTATTGGGTCTTTTAAGACAATGATAAAGAAATCAGTAAAATAAACCCACTGAGCTCACGACATTATAATTTGCCGCACGACATGGAAATAAAACCACTTAAACCCAGAGTCGGGGGAAAGGTAGCAGGAGTTGCCACACACTTTTTAGAAGCTGATATTGAGGAAAAAATATTGATTCTGTGATTTCATGTGTGTCCGATTTCTTAGACAAACTAGACCTCCAAATGAGGGGCGTGGCTGTGACTCAGTAGCTCCAGGAGAGTAATTTTACGTAGGTAGTTATGCGTGTGTCCTTGCAAAAGAGTTAAAGGCAGGAATTCGTTAGCATAGCTGCTAGGTTGAAGAAATGGATTGTTAAAAAGAGATGTTCGCCAGGTATGTGCTTGGATAGTGACTCTTTTGTGCTCTATTTTTTTCTACTAGCATGTCATTGGCTTTTTGTGTATATGTTGGTACAATATTTATTGTATGATTGTTATATTTATATTAGAGATTGAGGGCTATTGAAATAACCGACTTGCCCAGCTGTCCGGTGGTGCCCCCGACACCAGAGTTACCTACAAGGTACGCTGATTTTTAGGGAGTTACCGTTGTGTAATGTCACCGCAGGAAGCATTGTCTCTTCACTAAAGCCATGATGCCAGCTGATGCTGTGACGTCACTCCTCAAAGTCTGGCTTTTCCAAGACCTCCTTTGAGGACCTGACATAAGCCCCATGGCCGAGTCTTGCAGCTTGAAAGCTGGTTGAGTATTTCAAATACTCAGCCTGTCCATGTGCATCCAAACACATTTCTGCTTGGATGATTCTTGATTCCTTGATCCTTTGCTACTTCATGATTCTGATTCAGAGCCATCATTCACAGGCAGGAGTTTGATCTTTAATAATAGCTAAGTCCAAACTGGGTCTCTCCCTCGCGTCACAATTGCATGAGCAGACAGCCCAAGTTTAACAAGAATACAGTAAAAAAGAAATAAATAAAAGTGTCCTATGGCAAGTTTCTTCTTGTAAATCTACCAACTGTGATCCACATAGGAGTCATTCCCCATAGTCTGGATGGCTGAGTCGCCATGCTTTGTTTGATCAGCCACAATGGTTTGAAATGGGGAGTCACCGAGCTATGAGGGCCCACATGCAGAAAATCTGCCCATTTGCCAACAGCTACACTTGATCCTTCCCAAATGTATCATACAATCTTCTTGTTAAATTGGACGTGCCTATTTGCAATTAAGCTGAAGAGACTTGTTGATTTTAAAATAACCTCCATCATTTTCTATCAGTGATACTATGGTGTCCATTTTAAGATGAAATTACTTAATACAATTCATTTGCCAAGATTTTGCCAGTCTTATAAACTTGTAATAAAAGATGAATACAGTAGATTAGTTTTTCTCTTTAATTTCCCCCATTGTTGTATGTGTTTGGGAGGGGGGCGGGGGCGGAGGCATGTAAGTCAATCTTTGAATGCAAGCTTGTTTGAGAAGGAAGGAGGACCCGGATTCTTTTCTAAGACGGTTGGGGAATTGTGCTTCCTCTTCATGGGAGTAAGAAAACATATCTGAGCGACATTTTTTAATATAGTTCATGTTGGATATGAAAAGAAACCATTTCCCTCTTTTAACTTCCGATTTAGCTTGCCGTCAGGTGAGCTCTTAAATATTCCAGTGAAGTTTACCTGTAAACTTGACTTCAACCCAGTAACCCTGACATCTTTTGAGATCTGCTTTCATCCATTATGTGTGTTTCTAGCAGAGCCGGCCTTTCAATTAGACTGAAAAAGCTCCAACAATCTTCTTTACTTCCTTGCAGAGCTTGTGAGTAGTCTCTTAGCACCTCACTAAAGCCATCAGTTGCTTTTGGGTCCATTTCAACTCAGGCCATCCCAAATAAATAAGAGTAGAACTGTGTACCAGAGGATTTTCAACTGATGTTCAGAAAGTAGGTCTTTCTTCTGAGGGACCTCCTGGTTGACTTCAACTTCCCATATGTCGATTTTAACTGAACGTATTAGCCGTTTGCATTATCCGGGATTTTACCACCATAGGAGAGAAAATGTAATGGATACCCTAGAAGCAGACAAGCCCCCTGCTCCAACTTCGAGAAAGGATCACTGTGGTTAACATTTACAGAGACATCTTAATGTGGGAGGCGAAAAGATTTCTAATACTTATTTTTTTCCTACCTAAGATTTTTCTTAGAAGACAGTCTCTCCCACAGCTAAAAACAAAGGCAGTTTTGAAAATCAGATTTCAGAACTTGGGCAAATCCCCACCTTCAAGCATCCTTCCTGTTCCTCCCATGTAACTTCTAAATCAACCCAAACCAAAGAAAACATTCTCATTCGATCTCCTTGGTCCTACTGACTTTTTCCAAGAAAGTAAAAACGAAGCATGGATAGGTTTTTTATTTTTGCAATGAATATTTGGAGGCCTCTGAAAAGCTTTGCCAAAGAAAACATATTTTTTTTAAGTTTCAATTCACCCAGACAGAAATAAGATGAAAATGGATAGACATGATTTGAGAAAGTAATTTCAATTTGGATTGATCTACACTGTTTTGGCTTGGTTGGTTTGTTTTTTCTTAAAAATATACAAAACTCACTGACATGCAGTCAATTCCAGCTCACAGCGACCCTAGAGGCCCATATTCATTTCTGAGACTCTAACTCTTTATGCAAATAGAAATCACAGAGCAGCAGGTGGTTTCGAAGTGCTGACCTTGCAGTAACAGCCCTATCAATAACCATTATGCCACGAGGACTCCCCCTTTTGCAAATAGGCTTGTTCAATAGTAGGACAGAGCTGTTAATTGATTTTCAGATATTTCCCCCTAAATAGTGCTTATAGTTGTGTGTGGACTCACTGTCTATTTTGTAGGGAAAAGTTTACTGTCTCAAAAGATACATGCACTCTGAGCATTTAGAGTTCTCCAATGAAAAGACTCTCTATAGTTGCTAATTGAGCTGCTTTAGGTTCACTCTGCCTGTACATCAGTCCTTCATAGCCTTCCCAGGTCGTCTTCCTTATGAACTTTCTAATAGTACTTGAGCATTTGAATACTTGATCATTTGAAAAGGACTTCAAAGTTCTGTTTGGTTTTTTACTATGTGAGCAGCAATGTCAGGAAAAATATTCTTCTCCATGCTGGTTTATTACTGGATCCCTAGTTACAAATTGACAAGAATGAATGTGTGGGTCGTTCGCAGTTCTTAAACCAAAGGCACCACATTTTTTCCGAGAACAAAGGTAGTTTCTAGAACCTATCTACTGGCACTTTGTTGGCAAGATCCACAGAAGAGCCCATGTGTTAGAAAAACTTGGACATTGAACCAGTTTCTTCATTCCAGGTGAGGCTTTCCAAAATAGTGTTGCGGAACAGAGGGGACACTCCGGAGTGTAGGAAGATGGCTCTCTTGTCAGCAGACGGCACTGTGTTTTGTACGTAGAAGATTTCCTTTGAGCAGATTGTCACATTAGCATTTTCATGTGCTCACAGATGCCATGAAATTTCAATCCCTCAAATGCGACACTGTACATCCTTGTCCTTCCCCAAATGCCAGCAACGTTTTTCAATGGCTTGGAATTTCTGTTTTGCGAACTCATCAGCCAAATCATTGTCCCCTTCTAAAAGTGAACTTCAGTTAACGGGTGTCCTTTTCCTCGCAGGAGGTGACGGACAACATGAGCAACGGAGGACCAGCGCTGCTGCTGAACGGAAGACTCTAGCCAATGTTTCAGAGAAGGGACGGTGTGTGTGTGTGGGGGGGGTGTATGAGGCATGGAGATACGCGGAGTAGAAGATGAGATTAACACAGTTCTCTCCTGAACACCCTTTATTCTTCTTCAATTCTACTTCACTTTGGTCCTCAGCTCTCCTTCCTGAGCGAAAAACTTTCCAGAAATGTTCTAGAAGAGTCACTTTAATGGACTTTTTCTCAGAGCTTCTCCAGAAGACGTTTCAGGAGAAAGAAAAAGAAAACCAAACACTGTGGGATAAATAAAACAGAAATAAGCTTCCTATTCCACACAAACAGCTATTTCAACAGCATGGGAATTAGATTTGTAATGGCATATTCATGAGTTCTTTAAAAGTGCAAAGGAAAACTGAATTAGTAAAACAAATAAGCAAAACCCATCAACTTATTGATCAACTGACAGATGGCTTTCAGAATGCCATAATTCATAACCTCAACAATGCCCTGTTGTAAAAACATTGTAATTATTTTCAATTTATGAATGAATTATATTTCATAACTTATTTGTAAATAAAAACCTACACCTTCAAATAGAGAATTTTTTAGAGAGAAGGAATGCTAATCTGTATAATATTTTTGCACAAGATTGAAAATTGTCAAGAAATAACATTTAATGAAAATAGGCGTGTTTTGATCATATTGTGCAGACTGATATGCATGTTCACTTATAAACCTAAGGATGACATCTGTGTGTGTACACGTGTGTGTATATACTGTAAATATAGAAAATATATACAGCCTATATTTATAGCAGACATGAATGTAAATAGATAGTAGAAAAGACATTGTGATGCTGTGGGGGATTAACAAGATTCAATTCCCACAAAGATGGGAAAGCTTTTCAATGCCCACGAAATCACATTTTTTAGTTTCTACAAAATGTTTCCAGTTTCGCTTGTAGTATGTTCTTAGTGTGCTTAACATTAATATTTTATGTCTGTGTGTATGAATATTATAGCTAGTGTTTGTGGGATTGAGTTATTTGAGTAGGCTAGTATAAAGACTATTTAATTATTTCACTATTTCACTATGAGTATGCTATAGATGGTGATAGCACTCATTGATATTGATTTGTAGACATCAATCTAAATCATATTCCTCTACATTTATATAGATATGGCTTATGATTATTTATGATATTTATATTTCAAACAGTTTATAGCCCAATTAAATTGTACTAAAGGATTGAGGGACTACCTTTAAATTAAATTACCAGGAACTTTTCTATAATTGAATTATGTGAATAGTTTTTGGTTTTTATTTACTTTACCATTCACCTGGGACAATAAGGACAGACCCTTTTCAAGAAAATACACCATAGCCAAGGAACTGGAAGAGCTGACTGCAAAAGAAAATGAAAAGATAGGGGTTTGTTTACATAGTTATGCTTAACCTTTCTCTTCCAAATGAAATGTTAAAAAAATCAAATTTTCACAACATACCATACATAAGCAAGAAAGCATCATGCTCTTGGCATCAATTATGCGAATATAAATTCTGGCAGCAGATGAAGAAATATCCTGTTTTTGAATCTATACCTCACTGTATTGTACACTTTCATTTATATTCCCAAGTGAATCGGCTTTCAAGTTATTTTCATGTTACTTATTTAACCACAGGAAAACCAGAACCTTTATTATTCCATAGGAGAGCATGTTTTAATTTTCAAAACGAAATATGGACTTGAATTGTGCATATGAATTCACACAAAAAATTCAATTCATGCAAACCTGAAGATCTTCTATTGATAAATACAAACATCATCTACCTGACTTAAATCCCCTAATA